TCACCACAACCTCCGCCTCCTGGGTTCAGGCAATTCTCCTGCCTCAACCTCCTGAGCAGCTGGGATTACAGGCACGCACCACCATGCCCAGCAAATTTTTTGTTTTTTAGTAGAGACGGGATTTCACCATGTTGACCAGGATGGTCTTGATCTCTTGACCTCGTGATCCACCTGCCTCGGCCTCCCAAAGTGCTGGGATTACAGGCTTGAGCCACCGCGCCTGGCAATTTTTGTATTTTTTAGTATAGACAGGTTTTCACCATGTTGGCCAAGCTGGTGTTAAACTCCTGAGCTCAAGTGATCCACCCACATCTGCCTCTCGGAGTACTGGGATTACAGACATGAGCCACAGCTCTGGCCAAGTGTATGATTTCAAAAGTCTTTATGTTGCAGTTGTTTTGTACCTATTCCTCATCTTCCTGGGAACAGGGATGCCATTTTACACATCTTCTCAGAGTCAACCACAGTGTTTAACTATTACTGCATGTACTCTATAAGATACCTGAAGATTGATTCTCTTTATTGTTAATGTGTGGACTGTATCAGAAACCCGTATCATCAAAAGCCTAAAGTTGGCCGGGAGTGGTGGCTCATGCCTGTAATCCAAGCGCTTTGGAGTCCAAGGCGGGCGGATCACCTGAGGTCAGAGTTCAAGACCAGCCTGACGAACATGGTGAAACCCTGTCTTTAAAAAAAATAAAAAATTAAAAATTAAAAAAAAGTCTAAAGTTATTAAAGAGAGCGGAAGAATACCATCGAGGCATATTTTTCTCGAAGCTGTGACATCACAAATAAAAAAAATTAATGCATAGTGAAATCGTCACTGTAGTTAGAGTCAAAATGCCTTGTCTGTGTTCCAAACTTTGGGCCAACCTACCTGGTACACGGTTTCCTCATCAGTTTCTTCAGGGAGTAAATGAGGTAATAAGGTATAAGCACTCAGCATACGGCAGGCAAATACTGCTGGATTATACTACTGGATTTGTTTCTTTCTTCCACTAAATGAGAAGAAAATAATGCTCCCACATTTACACGTTTTAGAATATTTTATTTTGTGTTAGCGGATAGAGAAAACAAAGGAGGGATGAGAGAACAGGAAAGGGCAAAAAGGCAAGGTGCTAAGCAGATTGACCCAACGCTTTCATCGATATACTCCTCAATTTCCTTGACCTTGGGTCTCGCTCTCCACGACAGCCTCCAACCACACCGGTCGGTCCGGATCTCCCTTCCTGTCAGTGCCGGCTGCCCCTACCACGCGGGGTCTCATCCGCCCACCCGGCCCCCACAGGCCCCACAGCCCACTTTTCCCAGGCCCTTGGCCATCCCGCGTCGGGTCGGAATTCACGGGCAAGAAACAGCTCGGTCAACCGCCCTCCCTCCCTGGAGCCTGCCTCCCGCGGCCCTCGGCTCCCTCGCCCGTCCCCCGCGCCACCCCGGCGCCCCGCCCCGGGCGGGGAGAGTCGGGGCGAGGGGAGGGCCTGCCAGGTGAGGCGCGGTCACCCTGGGCCTCGCACTTCCGCCCAGGTGAGTCAGGGCCGACACCGAGCCCGCCCGGCCCGGGCTCCCACCTGCTCCTCCGGCGCACCAGGTAAAGCGTGGGGTCCCGGCTGTGCAGTGCGCGCTTGTCCCTGGGGATCCGCGCGCCTGGAGGCCGGCGCGGGGCAGCTTCCTCGCGGGCTTCCCGGGCCTGCCTGCCCTGCCCCCGCGCGCTCTCCGCCCGCCCGCTGTAGGAGGTGGGAGCCGGAGGCGGAGGGCGCCGCCGGGCGCTCGGAGGTCTCGCGGCGGGGATGGGGTGCCCGCAGGGTGCGTCCGCGCTGGCCCGGGAGGCGGGGCGGGGGCGCCTTCCTTCTGCGTCGGGCCCGGGTGACCCCAGTTCTGCCGCGCTGGGCTCGCTGAGGCCGCGGGCAAGGGCCCCGCCCCACCCTGCCCCGCCTCCCCAGGCCTTTCGGGCCTCGAATCTCGGCCCACTGGTGTTACGGGGTGCCACGGATCCGATTCTGCGCCCAGATCGGTGCCTATGTTTCGCTTCCAGGGCTGGGCGGAGTCTTTCCCTCCGTTGGTGGCCGTGGAAGGAAGGAACGGGGGTGAGGGGACAAAGAGGAGGGGGTGCTCAGAGCCAGGCTGAAGGGGCGACTTGGGCCAGGACGTGGAGGTTCCCAAAAGCCAGGGCTCAAGCCCTGGGCTCTGCCAGCCTTGCTGCGTAGATGGGGAGGTTGTGTTGGAAAGTGCTTCCAGCCTTAGGGGAATTCTTGGATTCCTGCTTTTAAATAAAGCTCAGGAAAGCATTTTCAGATGAGTCCCACCCTCCAAATCGCCACATCCGTCCCGCACACCGGCCAAATCAAGTGAACAAACACCCTTCACCTGGCACTTTGTCATATTTCCAAGTGGCTGTTGTCACTTTGGATTCGAGTTTGTTGTTTATTGGCTTGCCTCTGCCATTTAGAGGGTGCCCCTTTCTGGGCCTTATTTCTCGACTGCATTTAGGTAAGTGCTCGACAAGAGTTTCTTAAGTGAATGACGAAGCCTTGGAAACCCAGAAGGACAATGTCCGTTCCACTGAGGATGATACTACCACATTCTGGGCTGAGTTCCTAGTGGCTGCCAATTAATTTGCACACATCTATCTGAAAGGAGTGGGGGTGGGGTCGGCAGTTAAAAACTTAAATCTTCACGCCTGTAATCCCAACACTTTGGAAAGCTGAGGCAGGTGGATCACCTGAGGTCAAGAGTTCCAGACTAGCCTGGCCACCATGGTGATACCCTGTCTCTACTAAAAGTACAAAAATTGACTGGGCGTGTTGGTGGGCGCCGGTAATCTCAGCTACTCGGCAGGCTGAGGCAGGAGGCTGAGGTTGTAGTGAGCTGAGATTGCCCCATTACACTCCACCAGTCTGGGCGACAAGAGCGAAACTCCATTTCAAAAAACAGCAACAGGCCTGTAATCCCAGTACTTTGGAAGCCAGAGGCGGACGGATCACAAGGTCAGGATATCGAGAATATCTTGGCCAACACAAACCCTGTCTCTACTAAAAATACATAAATTAGCCGGGTGTGGTGCGTAACTGTAGTCCCAGCTACTATGGAGGCTGAGGCAGGAGAATCGCTGAACCCCGGAGGCGGAGGCTGCAGTGAGCCAGGATCCCACCACTGCACTCCAGCCTGGGCAGCAAAAACAAACAAAACAAACTTAACTCTGTTTGCAGCATTAGAAAATGTTAGGTGAGATTGAGCCTTTTAGCTAAAGTGAGCTTTGATGTTTTTAGAGTCCCTAATGGCCTTTAGGATGTTAACAAACAACAACAACAAAACACTCCAAATATGTTGAATTTATTTGGGAATGAGAAATGAGAATTATAGCCTGAGATGCACAATCATTTATTGGTTTTAGAGACTCAAAGCCAGAGCTGGCCATTGGTGAAGATGCCATTACTGGACAGGTGTTATGGAGAGTGTCTTGACAGGTCTGGCGCCCTGCCTCATGCCTATTATCTCAGCTACTTAGGAGGCTTAGGCAGGAGGATCCCTTGAGACCAAGGGTTGGAGACCAGCCTGTGCAACATGGCTGTCTTTACAGAAAACACTTTTTTAATGGCCAGGTATGTCAGGAGGTTGAGGCAGGAGGATTGCAAGAGATGGAGGCTGCAGTGAGCTGTGTTTGCACCACTACACTCCAGCCTGGGTGACAGAGCAAGAACCCTGTCTCAAAAAA